AAAGATAATTTTTTTTTATCACTTAACTTATTTTATTACATGTCATGCATATTAAATATAAAATTTCTTATTTTTATTAGAACCTACATGCTATGTGAGTTAAAATTAAAATATCTTATTTTAACTAAAAAAATTTATTATTAAATCATTTAAATTGTTAATTAAGATTATCATTTTTATCTATTTTCTTTTTTTTTGTTTTCCTTCTATTAACAGTAGATACAGACCCTCCTCTTCCAATTATCAAGACGCCGTTTAATAACACGTCTGTTCCCCCTGTTTTTTATTTATTTTTTCAAAAAGTTCACCAACCATGGCAGCTGGATGCCAACAACGAAAAAACTAAAAATAAAATCCAACAACTTGTTTAGTAAGTTTTCAAAACAAACAACTAATTAAAAATATAATTTAGAACAAAGATAATTTGCCTATTGACACCTATATTTGGCTATTGACACCTATATTCGGCTTTAATTTAAGTAAAAGTGGAAAATTTCCATGTTCATGTATTACTTTATGAATATTGTTAAGATTCAAACACAGACGCATCACGCAATTTTGGAACTTGTGGGTGTGTGTGTTTCTTTTTTGAACAATAGGTTTTCAAAATCTTGAAAACTTGTTGGGAAGACCTATTCTTAATATTTTAATAAGAAAATAATTACAATATTAAACAAGTTTTTCATTAAGAAAAAGGTGTGTTTAATAGTTGAATTTTTAAAAAATTAAATGAAAAATATTTTAAAATAAAAAAAATAAAATAACATATTTTTAAGTAAAAATAAATTATTTTAATAATATTTTATTGAAATGATATATATTTGAAATATTTTCTCTTTTAAAATTTTAAAATTTTAATTAATAAAATAATAATATTTTTATTATATAAATATTATTTTCTCAAAAAATAAATAAATATTACGTATTAAGTTTCTTTAACAACAAAATAAAACCAAAAGTGTTATTATGGTACGAAACTTTTTTGAATTTTCCCTTCATTCTAATTTTATTACTTACTCTTTTTATTTTTATGTATATCAAGATAAATTTATGTTTAAAATACCTTAACTTATGTAAGAGGCTTGTATAATGATCCAACCTTAGAATTTGTGATAATCAATTTAAAATTAAAAGAATTATT